CACAAGATTGGATACTTTTTTGGGGGGTTTTCGGTCGAAAAAAAATCGGTACATTTTTCAAGTGAAAAAACTGACAAGAAAAACAAAAGCGCTTGTCGCTGTATTCGAACTCACGACATCCGGCGATCCGAGAGCGACATTCATCCATTCAGCCGCGTGTCCAAGAACAACTTGTTGAAATGCATGGCGAAATATGCACGTATATAAAGGGATACCCTACGAGCATTTTGCCGGGTTTTTTTCGAGAATCGGTGAAGCCCACGTTGAGTTATCAAAATTATGCGACCGCCAAAAAAAATATCTGCAATACACTTGTTTGTTTTGTGCAACCTGGGCTTGTTGTCCACAAAAATTTGAAAATGAGGTTTTGAATGTTTTCGGGACTTTGCCCGCCGGTTCGGGGAATGGTTCCACCGCGAAAAAAAAGGCGTGGGCGAGAGCTTTCGATAGCTGCAAAAATTTGCGCGGGGTTCGGCGTGGTTGCTGAGATATGTGGGCTTTAGTGGCGTGAAGTATACTTCACAACGATGGTAATAGGGCCATAACTTTTCTCGCAGCGCGAATCCCGCGAAAAACTATGGCTCATTCGAACGCCCCTGGCGAGAGCTTTACAGTGGTGTTTTTTTTTTTTTAATTCGATGGGCAACGCTTCTTTTTTTTTCAAACCACCCCAAAAAAACGACCCACTTGATAGAACTGTAACACGTGCGTACCCGCCATGGTTGGGCGATTCGGGGGATATGCCGAACGCGGCTCAATTCTTTTTCCTCGATAAGCTATGGCGTGACGAACGCAAGTTGGTTTCTTGGCTGGACCAGCTTGTAAAGCAGGGCTCGAGTGCCCAAAACACGTGGACACCAGCAACGTTGCTGTGTTGGAGAAAATGACAGAATGCATGAAAGAATACAAGTCAGACCTTTTGCAACACTAACACCAACTTGTTCATCGACGAGTGAGACGGAAGGCTATGGGATGGGATACATAGGTATTGTCGGTATGCATATGCCGTCGTGCATAGTGCTTGACGTCCTAGAGTTTAGCGCACCATCCTTCTCACGAACCCGAGCCGTTTGGATGGTGACAATCGCTTGCTGTGAGAGGGCAGCGGCGACTCATTTGTGTGCCCTCCGGCGCGACCGGTGTGCGGCAGGTCTTTCCCCGTGCTATCCCCCAAAAGATGTAGCTTAAGGCCCCCGCTCAGTCTCCTTGCCAATATGAAAAGGACGGCCAAAAGTGGAAATGCATCCAAGGATGCGTCATCAAGGTCACAGCAGGAGAGACCGGACGGCCACCATCCGCGAAAAAGGAGAACATATGTGACTTCATCGCTGTTGATTCACTCGAGCGATTCGTGCCCAACGGTGTGGTGGTCCCTTCCGAGTGACTACTGTATATTGGCAGAACCAACTAATGGTCCGACATGTCGCCAACGACGCCTGGCTGTCTCAGGCCTTGCTGTTCCGTTTTTCGTGCATTGTACAAATGGCGCTATTCCGT